AGAAAACTACAAAAGTGAATTGAAGATGAATAAACAGTACCTTTTCAAGTGGAAAAAAATTGCTCTTTTTTTCATCAAGCACAATGCATCCTGACATGTGTTCTTAGGTTGCTTTTGATCATATGAATTTTTTAGACCTGATAAAAAAGGATAAAAAATAATATGTGATTTCTTATATCGGGTTTAGTAATATCGTAAAGGACCGCATATTATGTGTACTAACCTGAGTAAGTGCTTGATATGTATATGATAGACTGGATTAAAGTAACATGTAAGTAAACAATTTCATCTTCCTAAATCGACGAAGGTGGTGGTTGCTGGCTGCCACCTCAGGGCCACGACCACCGCAAGTGGTTGCTGACACCTTCACGGGAGGACAGTCACCTCTGGCAGCCACCGCAAAGGTGGTGGACTATTCTCTCTCCGGGATCTGACACTCGCGCACACACAGAGCTAGGTAGGGACAACGATGATGGCCTCCGGACGACAGAGAGAGAATGTAAGAAGAGAAGGAAGGAGATCGAGTCGGGGTGGGGGGGTGGTGCGCGGGCCGGGGCAGCAACCACCACACGGTGGTCGCTCGGGTTCTATGACATCGTGCATATGGCCGCCTCCGGCAATGCCGAGTAAAATGCAAATGGTTTTCCTTTTTCTAATTTTTTTTCCCAGATAGGAGAAATGGTCCGGATACATCACATGCGCAAGTGTGATAATTTTATCCAATCTATATCTGGCTAGACACGACCTCCGGTGCCGCATAGGACAATTATTCTATTTGTAGTTTCATTCCAAGCTAACCCACATGGCCTTAGAGAAATCTTTAGGGTTCGTCTACTTAAAACAAGAAAAAGGTCAAAGTATGTAATACACTGGAAAGATCAAGCAAGTTGGTATGCTGAGACTCGTATAAAATTTTGTCATATTGGGAAAAGAGTAGCCGGTAGTAATCGTGTTTACTGAAATAAGTACCTTGATGGGAAAGTTTGCAGCAGCGAATATCTAGAGAACACTATGATGCCGTGAATTAAATCTAGAAAACGCTTTGTCATTTGCTTGCTTTTGGTTAACCTATCTCCAAAAGGAAACATTGTTTTCTGTAGTGACAAAGTGTTAGGTAACCTGGGGAGCTCATCCCCCATGCAATGTTCATAAGACAGCATATGAGCTCTCACTACATATGCCTACGGAGATTCGGACGGAGCCAATCCCTCTAAGCCATCTATTTGACAGATGTATTACGAAATGAGTCCGACCTGATATTTGTGACATTGGAAATGTGCGACCAGTAAGAGGCATACTTATTTTGGTGTACGATATCTTATGTTGCAGATAAACAGAGCTTACTATCATTTTGTTGCGACTTTAGTGAGGGCAACCTACACTACAATTGCAAGAGTAGCTTTTATGAGCAGGTGAACGCCACACTTAGGGAGAAAGCCTTAGATACATTGCGCGGAAATGATCCAAGATTAATACAGAATTGTTGCTTGCCCCCCCAGAGCATGTGAGCCCTGTGAACTTGAAATTATTTGATCGTATAAATTTCACGTGAGACCCATCTCACCTGTGGTATATGTAAGCTAGGCCTGTGTGGACCCAGTTCAGGCTATAGACTCTTTCTATAAAGAGGCTCTCTAAGAGAGCTGGCTTGGCATACTAGAGGGGGAATTTGGGAAACCCAGAAGGTGCAATCTCTAGAATCCCTGAGCGATGAAATGGACAACACATGAGTTAGTGCCTACCTAACCACATAATTGTTCTGAATGCCCCCCAAAATCGAGCACATGTCATTCTCCAGATCTAATGAGCTGCAGTAATGGTGACGCGGTGTTCAAGCACTTCTTTCCTCCGGAAACGGAAATGAAGTACCTCGCATCCTTGTCCTATGTTCAATAGGGCACGCATATAGCACATTTAATTCAAGATCGGATCCATGAGGACCACAGGGCAAACATGTCCGTTTTTGAGTTGGGAACTTCTCCATAAAGTCTTCGTTTCGCTTTCTGAAAATGTTTGATGTTAGCATCCCCAGACCATTCACAGAACGGATGCACTAAGCTCAAAGATGGGGACAATGCCTTTGCTGTGAAACACACCAATCTAAACACCACGCAGCACGTCCAAACCTGAATAGTAATCAGACACACGAACTCCAAGAGGCCTAACTTGTAATGAGCGTTTGAATTGCATTAGTCTTGTGATAATAAGAGTAAGTGCCCTCGAAATGCTTATACCGAAGCATGATAAAGAATAATTCAGTCTTTGAAATATTGATCAGGCACATCACAAGAGAGGAATAAAAAATCACAGACTTTCTTATTAGATTATTCAACGAATACCTCAAAAACACTTTACCAACAAATCTTATTCTTTTAAAGAGAAATAATTCGTGATAGAGAAGAAAGTTAACAGGACTTTGTCGACGAATGACCCCGATCCCTCAGGGGCGGTCGATCGAACGAGCCAATCGTTTCGAAAGTTTAAGTCATTAAAACACGGATACTTCATAACTTGACAATATAAACAGTGCATCTTTTAATGCCACGACTTTTATCGTGACATGCACAATCGTCGCTTTGATGTTCGAAACTTTCGCTACTTAAATATGCTTAAATATATTTAATAAAGATACAGAGCATAAACCGAGTCAATCATGAGTCAACACTGGCAATGATTCATTCCTTCAGGTGGCTCGAAGGCCCAGAGGGATGCATCTGCATACCCGACACCATACATAATTTAATCAGAATAGGCAATTTCCGATTGGTCCTTAAGCAGTAAGCAGTAATTTAATCGTTGGTAGAGCTGCTCGGTTCCATGCTATCTTCTTTCTCAAGGCAGCTTGTTACCAATAACTAGGAGGAGCACGAGCAGAGACCCGTCTTCCAGTGTCTCTCCATTGTCTGTCCGTTCAAGCATCTGGGGGTGATCATCGTGACTGCATAGGAATGAACTGCCTTGAGTGCTTAAAAAGCTCTCGCATCTATGGAAAACTCGCCATTATCCATCGTTTTTCATCATCATACTTGGTGGAACAATGTGCTACCCTATTCGGATTGTTAGAATATTTGCGCGAGAAAATCTATGCTGAGTCGCAGCCGCCTCTAGTTTTGACCGTGGCTTTCGCGTGCCATACGGATCTTGCTAGTCTCACGTGGCATCCGACACCAAGTTCGGATGTTGTGACGCGGTGGACATGAGTGCGTATATCATTCTCTGTCCTCAAGCTGTAATTTAAGCCGAGAATATCAAAATGGGTGTTTGAATTTACCAAGTCGCCAAGCTAACACTTCGTCGGCGCTTCCGAGACGTGTCTAGAGACGTCCTTGTTTACACTCGGTGCATCCATAAAAAGTCTCCGTCTAGCTAAACGTTGCATTAACTGGCCTTATGCAACGCCCGATATGTATTGCATAGTCTTTTGTATAAGCGCTCCTGAAAACTTTAGGCAACAATTTTCAAGGGGTTGCTCATGCGGCCGTTGTCTAATAACAAGACAACACTCCTTCAATGTTATTGGGCAGCAAATGTTTCGGGAAGCAGCACTTTCCATCAGTGTTGCCAAAACTTTAATGCACCACTATGACAAATCGTTGCTTAAACCATATAACTGAGCAAAATAAACAAGGCACCTTTCTATAGACATCAGCAATTCATTCATAAACCTTTTATATGGATTCTAATTCAGTCATAAGCACTTCAATTTTGCCCATATAATCCTAAATATTTGTATGGAATTTTAATATAATTTTTCCGATCAATTTTATTTTGGATTGAAAATATTGACGTATAGATTCAATCATCAACGGCCATTCCGCTTGGCACGTCAACATCGGATGCGGATAACTTCACTCGGAATTGTGCTTAATCTTTTGTTTTCATTTTTCTATTGCACACGTATATAGGACATTCAGGTTTTCGAGATGGAGGCTATTAATTTTTATGTAGAATTTGAAAGTAGGCACTCGTTAAATAACTAAATAAGAAAATATTACAATTCTCGACACGCTGCCGATTATTCTTGCGATTTATACAGTTAATATATTAAAAATCAAATATTTTTTCGTTAATCATAATTGACAAGTGCTTTGCGATCCCTTTGACTCCAATCGAGCACATGTCATTCAATATTTCGGCTGACAAAGAGAAGGGGGGCCACCACCGTCACCCCGTTACTGTCGTGCCAATAGACCCTCCTCGATGTGACTCGGTGTGTGATGGCTATTTGCCCCTTAACCCTTGTTAGGTTCCAGAGCTCTTGCAACGCTCGCGCTGCCATCAACAAGGAAAGATCCGGAGGTACAAGCGGGCGAGTCTCTTCGAACTCTTATCGGGGTCGTCGCTTTACGCAGTGGCTCGTAGGTCATTAGCTCGCAGCTCCCTCTTCCTCCCTCTTCCTCCGCAACTTCGCTTATGCAAAGAAGAAGAAGAAGAAGAAAGAAACAGGAACCATTGTTTTTTCTTTAATGTTCTTCTGCGGAGGAGGAAGGGGGTGGGGGGGTGGGGGTTTGTTTTTGTTAATATTTTTGGACACGACAGTGCGACACCTCGCGGTTCTGCTTGCGCCACTTGTTTTCGTTACGCAGTTTAGTTAAACAAAAAATAAGAAAGGGAAAGAAAACACGAGAACGTCCAAGGGTCTACGCGACAAAGAGAGGATATCCAGAGGAGAGACAGAGACACCGGAGCACCGAGCAGAGATATAGATCATCCGGGCGCTCGTCCAATATGAAGGTCCTCGAGTGAATATAGAAGGTGTCGATTTCACGTTATAATGTAATGTCTCAAGATTATTCTAACTCATGACCCACGTCCTGATCGAGACAATTAAGGGGTCTGGTTTAGTGACCGAGATGAATGTCCGAGACGAACCAAACCAGCGGATGCGTCTGTTTCGTACGCGAAAATTTTCAAATTCATACATGCGATCCGAAGTCCGAGGACGAGAAGGCAAAACAGCTCTCCTTGAATTTATACCGAGTGCCCAAAACGGTCCCCCGTCCCCCGTCCCCTATGGAGAGAGAGAGAGACATCATTTTTTTGAACCTCTCCCAAAATTTACGCAACAAACAAGAGAGAGAAAAAAAAAATGGGAACGGGAAAACGACACCTACTTCTCTTGCAAGAACCGATTCACAATCTTCACGCTCGGCCCCACCACCTGCCCCTCCCAAACGTCCCGCCACCTGCCGCCGCCGCCGCCGCCGCCGACCGCCAGCCTGAACGCCTCCGTCGCGTCCAGCCTCCTCAGCTCCCACCCGCAACTCCTCAGGCGCAGGATCTTCCCGACCTGCCTCCTCGCCAGCAGGCGGGTGTTCTCCTTTATCTCCCTCACCGCCTCCTCGTACGCGTCCTCCCGCGCCCAATCGTCGCCCCCCTGGCCCACCCTCCTCGGCAGGTGCTTCTTGAAATAACGGTCGAACTCCGGCACGCCTATGGCCTTCCTAAGCCCCGTCCGTCCCCCCGGGTCGGTCCTGCCCGGATCGTAGTATTGGGCAAGCTCCTCGAACATGCCCGCGTCTAGCATGTCGTCCACGCGCTTCGACAGGTAGTCCTCCAGGACGGGCAGCGACACGTCGACCCACAGAAAGCAACAGTCGTACCTCAGCTCGGGGCCCGCCGGCGAGATGAGCCCGCCAAACACGTCCGTCTCCAGGTCGAACCGCTCCACCAGGAGAGCGTGGATGAAGGAGTTGGAACCACCGACGAGGAGGGGGAGATTCCCGCGGGAGGCAACGCCGGAGATGGCGGCGTGGCCGAGGGAGCGGAACAGCGACGGGCTCATCTCGCCATCGTCCGGGTCGAAGGAGCCGAGGAGGTGGTGGGGGACGCCGTGGCGTTCGGCTGGGGTGATCTTGTTGGTGGTGATGTCGAGGCCCCGGTAGACCTGCATTTTGTCGGAGTTGATGACCTCGGAAGGGAAGAGGGAGGCAAGGTCGATGGAGAGGCGGGACTTGCCGCACCCGGTGGCGCCCATGATGACCACCACCTTGGCGCCGCGGCGGAGGCGGTGGTGGGCGGCTGCAGAGGAGGCCATCGGGGACCACCGGGTGGGCTTGTGGTGGGTGGAGCTGATGGGGCCATGGTTGTTGGGTGGAGGGAAGAGAGGATGGAAGGAGAAGAGGGATTGAAGCTTGGAGGAAGGAGAGTGTGGTGGGTTTAGGAAGAGAAGTTTCATAGAGAGAGCGTGACGATTCTTTGGTTGTGAAACAAGCCGAGCTGTACCCTTCTTCTACAGCATATACGGAAGGTGTGACTCTGTGGGTGATCTCAGAGAGAGGAGAGAGAGAGAGAGAGACGTGTGGGTACAGTCCAGTACAGGAATGACAATGCTGGAAATGCTCTGAGCGAGAGATTGAATTCGCTCCCTCCAGCAAACAAAAAAAGTTCTTATGTATTTCTGCTCCCTCCCTCAATCAATCCATGCAAATCGACGAAACAGGGGGTTCGCAGCTCCGCCATGCGACGCCGACATCCGGTGAAGATTCGTGGCGCTGGGCCTGGCTCTCGCTGTGCCGGGGGCAGTCCCGTGCTGGGCGAGCTCGATCAGCACCATGGGAGCGGAACGAGAAGGTGTCGAAGGCGAACGAAATGGGAGGAAAAATATCAGGAAGATCGGGGGGAAGCCAACGAGGAAGACGAAGAGGAAGAGGAAGGAGAGAAGTGATGACGATGGAACATATTGGCGCAGCGAAGGAGAGTGTGTGTGTATGGGGAGTGTTATGGGGCCATACGCATGTTCTCAGCATTCGCTCGTTTATATTTGACACCCCACCCTGCCCTAGATTATAATTTATTGGAAAAATGACATAAATAGTCCATAAACTTTAGCTCAACGTATAACGTGGTCTATAAATTTTTAATTTATTCAACGCGGTCCTTGAATTATAACCCAATGTGTAGTGTAGTTCCCGAAGTTTTAATTTGTTCAATCTGGTCCCTGAACTTTCGGAACAATATTTAATTTAGTCCCCGAATTATATGAAAATATTTTATGGAAGAAATTAAACATTTTCATATAGTTCGGAGACTAAATTGAACATTGCACCAAAAGTCCAGAGATCGGATTGAACAAATTAAAACTCAAGGGACCGCATTACTTATTAGACTAAAGTTCAGGGACCACATTGAATAAATTAATGGTTCATGAACCACAATGCACGTTGGGTCAAAATTCTGTTTGTGTCACTATCCCTAAGTTATTCTTAATCAACCTTCCTCCTTTTATTTAAATTTCCTTTTAACTTGATTAATAATAATAACAACAATAATGATAAATTTCCTTTTGAAGAGGTTTGATCTTGGAATTAAGACGCGTCCCTATTTTCATGTCAACTAACCGCTTTTATGGACAAGTGTCTTAATTTCGATACTATTTCTGTAAATAAAAAATATCTACAATTTTTTTTTTGGTGGGGGGGCTTTTATAGGTGGATTTTTAATGACGCGCATTATTTTTGGGTGCATTTTTAAATTTTCCCTTTTAAATTTTTTTTTTTTGGGTCGGAACCTTTTATATTCAATGGGGTGGATTAGAATGTAATTAAATTTGTGCTTATTCCATATCCCCATATCCTCATTTTAACAAAGGGTTTCATGGAAAAGTCTATAGGAGTCGAATCATCCATTTTACTATCAATGTGATCACTTTTGCATTGGGATGTATTTGCATCACATATTTGCTTTGTACTTCATATTTTCATTCGCCACTTTCGTTGATTTGGTACTCATTCCTCCATGGTTATATGTCTTTTGTATGCGCCACTAAACGGGAGGTGGAAAAGAGATGGCAAACACAATAATTATACTTGGGAACGAGACAATTCGGATGCATTTAGCATATTAGCTACATTGTACATAACATATATACATATGTGTGTGTGTTCGTAGATATGACATGTATGAAATTAAAAATCACCCCAAATTTGTCTCATTTTCAATGGGATATTTCACTTTACAACTTGACACTCCATTGAATATCTTGTCAAATGCAACCGAAAGTAGAGCTCATATCCAGCTTATTTGCTTTTGCTTTTGAAAATAAAAATTAGCTTTATGTATTGTCTGTCTCCATATACTCTTTAGTCAAATATCGTACGAGATACAAGGGTTGAGATTCTATTAGCTCGGACGTCCCCTCTTAATCAATACCTAATTATATGCGGTACGTCTTCGAACACACATTAAGCTCGGGTTAGTGGCCGCTGGCGGTGGCTTTATCGCGTGATTAGACAGCTTAATCATAAGCCAGAAAAGAACATTTGGGATTGTCCGCATGTTAACACTGAGTTTTATGTGGGAAGGCTTTATTAATCTAAGAAGGTGCAACTTTAAACTAGTCATCAATCGAGAAATAGTTGGCTAAAGATGCGTCAACTGGCCGTTTCTGCTTTGTTATATACCTTAATTTAAGTGATCAAGAAGGTATTAAAGAGAATCATGGCTGCACCACCTTCCTAAAAATGGGCAAGTTGTTGTACTCGTTCGCTGGCCATCGACCACAGATTGGACATTTATAAGTAGTCACATCTAGCAACTGCGTGTATCTTAATGGGGATGATGAGGCCTAATTAATTAGGAGATTAAGCACTCTTTCTTCTTCTTTTTATGGGAGAAAAGACATGAGTGGATGCAGTGAGTTGTTCCTCTGTACTTGTGTGCTAAGAGCATCCAGGCTCCTGGTGTTATTTGGAAGAGACTTCACGGGAATAAGAATAATATGAGTATCATAACCTTTATATGGCGCTCGCTTGAGTGTTATAATATTTTTTTCGCTTACTTAAGTATTACATCAGAGTAATATCGGTCACTTGAGTGCCACTTCCGACAAATCGTCCTACGTGAATTTTTTACATTTTTATTTTATTTTTTAATTAGTTTTCGAATTTTCTTTTTCTTTTTTTTTTGTCCGCTAGCCGTAAAGGCCTCGCCCTTGGCCCACTTGGCCGGCGGGGTTGCGAGGGCCCTAGGCGAGGGCCTTTGCGGCAAGGCCGAAGCAGATTTTCTGGCAAGATAAATTGTCGATAGCACTTAAGTGATTAATTTTTCAAATTTGTGACCCTTAAATGATCGATTTTTCAAATTTGTAGCACTTAAGTAAGCGAAAAAATTAACAAAATTGTCCACGTTGACACCGGCGTTGCCACGCAAGATGACCGGCGTCCAAGTCAGATTTTTCGATGACGCTAATCGCTAATGGCACTTAAGTAATCGAATTTTCAAATTGATGATACTTAAGTGAGCAAGAAAAAATTATGGCCTTAAATGAGCGCCGTACGAAAGTTACGGCACTTGTGCTATTCTTATATCAGACTTTATGCTTCTTGCCTAAATTTAACAAGGTTTTGCACAATTATTTATACAACCGACATTCATCATCATCGGTTAGGTAATTACAGTTCGAAGAAACAACAAATATATTAACATTGGCGATAGGTGGAACACGCACTAATATGAATAGTGTATGTTACTTGCTCTTGTTACTTCTGTTGTCCTACTAATTAATGACAATTTACCAGAATTTTTCTTTTCATATGTGGACCAAAATCTCATGAGATGTGCATGAAAAAACTGTTCTTTATGAGAAAACAAGATGACAAAAAAAAATAGTGAATCATTTAATAATGAATGGAGTACCGATAAAACTAGTTAATTAATGATTAAATGAGATTTGATCTCCCAAATGTAATTTGGAGAGAGATGAACACAAGCGGGTTGCTACTTCTAGTCTTCTATGGTGGGGGTGCGAAAGGAATGTCCAAGTGTCAAAAGCATTTTTAGTCTAAGTCTGACGAAAGCCGCGAAGGCAAGTCGCGTAAGAATAAGATGAGAGCCCACCACCAACTTATCCTGCTTTTCGAGTTTTGAAAATGATGGTTATAGAGACGAAAACATTCTCGTCCGATCCCACGTTTCATCATATCGATTTCCTTTTTCTCTATAGGAAATGGGCGGGACAAGCGATCCACATCAACAACGTTGGCACGGGAGCTCCAAACCCACCGTGGGAATACTCGATTTGAGCTGTAACTATCGTTTACTTTCGAAGCGAGCCCGTGTTGTCGCCTCATTACCTAATGCGAACAACAACAAAGTCGGGAGCGATCCTTGTGCCCAGCATTCGAGTCAGATAATGCAACCGATCGCGAAGAGTGATCAGAGGATTCGGAGTTTTGGTCAAGGGAGCACCAAACTACATGCAAGTAAGTCTCTTGACCATTAGGAGCCATCAATTCACACATAAATCTGGCCAAGAATATTTCCTGCTTTAACTCAGCTTCGAAATAGGGTTGATCCTGTACCTCCCATTATCAAGAAAACGATTATCGGGGTCTACCAACTCAGCTATGTGGCCTAATGGTGAAGGTTTGGAAGGGAGGGTTTAAACCTGTAGACCTAAGAAACTAGGATGCTTTTTAACTAATCATCACTTAGTTTCAATCTCTAGTGTCTAGAACCTATACCAGTTTGTAAATGCCTGTAGAGAAGAAGGGAAAAAAAGAATCGAAAAAAAGAATCGACTCCTTTAGTTTCATCAATTTAATTTCTCTAAGATTTATGGTTATATGTCATTCTGTCCAATATCAAGACTTGAAAGGTGATTATCAATCAATTAATGCGATAATTCCTAACAATCTACGAATTTCACTCAAAGAAATGAAGTTCGAGCACCCTGATTTCGATGGGTTGTAACTTTTGATTTGGGAAGAGTTATGGACCTCGTAAGTATACATTGAAAGAGAAATGATTAAGTGACAAATCTTAATCTACTATGAGATTAACAATATATGTTGGACCATAAAAAAAATAATTATAAATTATCGTGGGGTTTACTTCTTGAAGAGTTTATAGCTCACAAAATGTTGTTATTCTCACAGTGATCCAAAAATTATTATGTTGGCAAAGCCCCTCTGAAATGTTCATTCAAAGCTCAACACTGTGGTTCCAACTTGAAGAGGCAGAAAGCCAGTTTAAATTTTTAAAAATTTCACTTTTTTCGCATTGTTTCTGGCCACTTTTCCGAATTTGACTGCCCAGCCACACATGTCCATAGCCCATTTTCATGTTAAATTACTAATTTACGGCTTCATTATATTTAAGATGTAAATGACTTATATTTCTAATTTTTAGGCTTTTTTCATATATTTTAAACTTTTGAATATATTTTTAGGCAAGTCCGAGCCTTTTGAACTCCTCAATCCCGAGCCTAAGAACCGACTCAAGCACAAACCTAATGGTGACCGTGAGATAGGCTTGAAAGCTCGAATCTAGAGTGAAAAATCTGGCTGAATTCATCCGGGCCGATTCAGGATCTTAGGTCTTTCTTAATACCCCTAGTTAGAAGTTGGAACTAGCAAGGATATTATGTACCTGCGCATGGATGAAGGTCCTCCGGCCTGTATGGACACTCCATTTGATATCTCGATAAATCTCAATTGTTAATAAAAATCTCATTTAAAAAATCAATGAGTGAGATTTATTGAAGCAACAAGAGGATCCATGTCCCTTGCACATATGCCTGACCAGACCGAGAGCGTTCGAAATCTAGATCTCCCAAGGAAAAATAAAGAATTGTTCGAAAAGGGTATAACCAAAGAACCATACAAAGATGCAAGTGAAAATGAGACAACTAAACAACAAGAGGGTTTCACATATTTTTTTGAGATGTTACTTCCCACGCACATCTTTCAAAGCTACCGATAGGGGGAATGGAGGTCCACATGAATTTCCAAGGCAAGG